GCAGAGAGAACAAGTCAGGATACAGGATATTGGCTATTGAAACCTGACTGTGCCCGTTCACTTACAGCGCAATCTGAAGGCCCCGAGCAAGTTTAATTTACCTGGCAATACAGCTAGCTGAAATATGATTGGTTAAAAACTCTACCATAATAAATAACTTATTTATCGAGTGGCTTTCAATGTTATTTAAAATAAGCCACTCAACTAAGTGGAAATAATACAACGTAAAGAATACAGAGAATAATTTTGTTTACATATTTATGAAAATAAAATAACATAAATTATAAAATAACATAAAATACATAAAAGTAAATTTACTTTTCTGAGAATGTTTAGGCCAGCAGAGAAGGCCTTGCTGGCCCTCAGGGTCCGCCACTGCAGGTTAGTCTGTACAGAATTTGTGGCCCAAAGCAACTCCTTAAGGAGAGAACAATTGCGAATGTTCCCGTGTTCTCACCCTTCTTGCTTGGGGTTTCTCTGAGTACTCCGCCTTAAGTTTACTTACTCCGAATAATGTTTGGGAAACATTGAATATACTCCTTGGGATTTTAAGATTTAGGTGATAACAAACAAAACAAAACATCAGTTCATAATATATGTTCTGAAAAATGTAATTGTGACCATGACTACATTAAGACTCAACCATGTGTGTTGCGCTGTCATTGAACCAACATAACATTTATCCTGAAAGAAAGAGAGGGTGCTACATTTTTGGGACTGCAACAGTGGAAATAGCATACAATTTCTTTTAAACTGTGTCTAATCCATGTTTGTTTCACTTGTAATGATGATTAATATAAAAACCTTTCTGCTTTAAAAAGCAAATGTTGATGAGACCAGTCAAGTGTTTAATCTTCACCCAACGTTGGTCAATTATGAGGTTTTTAAATAAGCCACTATCTGCATCGGGCTTCTATTCAGGTTTGTTAAGGCAGCAAAGTAGATAATCTGTGGAGTGCAACAAAAAATTGTGTCGCTGACACTCCACAAATGTCTTAAATTACACAGTTTCTTCAGTTTGCATGACAGTGGTCCTTTCCCAAGCAGTCGTTTAGCTTCTGCACGGTCCTCTTGGCGAATCTCACTTTCCCTCGATTCTTCAGGGAGGCTGTGTACTGATTGGACTTGAGTTTGGAGTAGTAGTCTGAGAACTTGTTGAAGAGGATGGATATGGGCAAACCGTTGAGGATGATTCCGAAAGCGATGCAGATGAAAGCAAAGAGACGACCCAGGATGGTCTCTGGGTAAACGTCGCCGTAGCCCACCGTGGAGATGCTGACCTGCAGGATTTTCAGGGGAGAGCAGTCACCATCATTATGAGGAAGAAAAAAAACAATTTCAACTCTCTTTTGCTGATTTATTTAACGTATGCTTTTGGTTTAATTTTGGTATGTTTTTGCGACTTCCTAAATGCTACACTAGATATCCTTAATAATAATAATAGTAATAATAATAATAATAATAATAATAATAGTAATAATAGTAAGTTTTCCTTCAAATGCATTAGCATTTTAAGCAATTCAAAACATCATGTAAATTAATATGCTGCACTTAGACGCATCTTATTGAAGCGTTGCACCAGGCACCAATGAGAGTAATTTTGTGACAGACTAGCACGTCTTGATAGAATGTGGCAGTCAAGTAACTCAAGGATTACCTAGTTTTTGCTTACACAATTTGTCATCACTTGTTAGTAAGTCAAAATAATGAGTGATCCAATGTCCAACATGGTTATAAAAGTCGCGTTGAAAATCCCCCCCCCCCCCCAAAAGCAACTTTTTACTCAGTCCTGGTGTGTTTTACCATAGCCTACTTTCAAAAGATGTGTTAATTCCGTCCATCCAAGGTTAAGACCTAAAACAAAACTGGTGCATTGTGAAATGATTGTAGCTATCATGATTTACATGTGGATTGATTCATGTTTGGATGAAGACTGGCATGGAGACCAGCAAACGACTGCATGAATGGAGAAGAAAAATCTACTGAATGACTGCTGTCAGGCTGCTGAATAAACACACGTGAAACCTGGACTCACCACCACTCACCCATTGTAAATAGCACAGCCACCTTATTCAGCATATTTGCATATATGCTTATATCTTAGATTTCACATTTTATATTGCATTCTGTGCTGTGTACAGTTCTTTTTTTTTTTTAATGCATGCAAATACTTTTTTTCCGGGGGGGGGGGGGTTCTACTCCTTCCCTCCAAATTTTGCTGCTGTAGATTGTGAATTTCTCCATTGTGAGACAATAAAGGTTTTCTTTTCTTATCTTATCTTATGACAAAGACTGACCTTGAGAGAAATGTAAGCCACAAAGCAAAGGCAGCAGTACATGCTAAATGAGGTGATTGAATCCCGTCCAATTTTGATGCATCGTGTTGTTGGAAAAACGGAGCTAAAAATACCCTTTTGTCCAATGGATCTTTCACTTACAGATGCCCACCACCAAGCATGAGGAATGCTGGAGAAGTTTGTTTGCGGCATGTCATGTTCCACAGTGTAAACCATGGCAGAGAAGCTGAAGATCCCCATGGCGATGAAGAGAAACAGGCACCCGACTTGTTGGTAGCACTGCCGCAGAGTGAAGCCGAACGCCCGCAGGCCCGTGGAGTGTCGGGCCAGCTTCAAGATACGAAAGATGCGCATCAGTCTCATGATACGCAAGACTTGTCCGAGCTTTCCCACCTGCCCCACTGCCTGCATGTCGGCCTCGTGTTTCACGTAGTTTTCCTTGTTGTCAAAGAATTCCAGGATGGCCTGCAGGTACTGAGGCAGGATTGCGATCAGGTCCACAGTGTTGAGCACACTCCTGCTGAAGGCTTTGAGGTCAGGGGTGGAGACCAAACGTAGCACATACTCCATGGTGAAGAAGGCAATGCACATTGACTCGACGTACTCCCAGTAAGTCTTTCCACTGAGCTGCCCCATATGAGCTCGATACTGCATCTCCTCCACTGTGTTCAGCGTCATGGCCACCAGGGAGATCAGGACGAACAGACTGGACGTCACGGCCATCAGCTTGGCCTTGATTGAAGAAAATGGCTTCTCCATCAAGTTCCAAATAGCTCGCCGCCGCTGGCCCATGAACATATCTTGAAACAGAGCTTCGTTCTCTTCGATCTCCACCTCGGCTTCCAGCTCTCTCTGGATCTTCAGCTGCTCGTTCAGCTCGTCCTGTCTTTCCTCGAAGGAGATGCGGCAGCAGCGGTGGGTGTTCTTTATCCTCACCCCCCAGTAGTTGATCTCCTCTAGGAAGTTGCGGGGGCACAGCTCATCCTTGATCCACAGCACACCGGTCCGGTAGAAATTGAAGATGCTGTGAAAGATTTCGGGGTCTCGGTCGAAGAAGAACTCGTTGTTGGTCACACTGTAGTCATCACACAGGTCCAGTTTCATGTTGTGGTCGGTGTAAGTGGCTAGTCGTCCAATTCTGGTCTTGGGGTACCTCGCCGCCATCTTGTAGGCGATTTGGAAGGACGTCCCACCTACATTGATGTTGATCGTATAATTCTTGGATGGGGAAATTTGTTTGGAGGAGCCATGCTGGACATCATCGTCTTCATCTTCATATTCAGCGTAGATATCGTAGATGTCTTTGCTCAGCTCTTGCATGGAGTTCCATGTCCTCACACAGCTCTCCTTTGCTGACGGATAAACAATTTCTGAAGATCTCCGATTAACATCAGAGCCTGTAACTTTGTAGTTCGGGAACAGACTTCGTCTCCTGTTGAAGAACTGGAACACCTTGCCATTGCTCCCCATGTCAGTGTACAAACTGGAAAGAAGGCAGAGCACTACTTCTGTCTAGTAGCCTTTTACCTAAGCATGGAAAACATGAGCAGGATACCTCATGGCCCCATTAATGTTGCTGACTGGGAGGATCCGTGTGCTTACAGGACATCTAAATACCATTATCCTCTGCTGAGCTCCCGAGCTGCGATAATGTGGACAGGGTGGCGTATCCCAACAAATGCCCCTCATCAATGTCCCCTTATACAGCAATTACCATTTATAACACAGATTGATTGTGCTCACCGTTAGGATAGTTGATTTTATGACAACTATCCTATTGATGAATACAAGTACCGAACCGTGTTATCCAGTATATATGAATCTTTTTGCATTCCTCTGAGATTACACAAAGGAAGTCCGATAGAAACACCTTGAGTTTCTTGTAAGATCCCACACAATGGCGGGTTCAGGAATTATGAATTATCCACATCGATCTCTCAGTTAGAACATTAAATCTCTACATTCATTGTTTAGTGCTGCAATGCAAGGTTTTTGCCTCGCTTGAACTAAGAAAGACAGCAGATACATACAAGAGGATCAAGGTATTAAGCCTTGATCTATACATATGTACTCATTGGGGGGTTGGGGTCTTGAACCAAAGTAAACGCCGTCATTCTCAGAGACCCCGAACACGCTTGTCGAGTTTCCATGGCTCTCCAACCCTCTGTTTACTCAGAATGGACAATAATTGGCCGTTTTGACCACTTCCGTCAAACAATTCAATAGCTCCGCCCCGACTGATTATGGGTTGAGAGTTTGTAAGTGCTGTACATGGAGCAAAAATAATTCATATAGCAACAATAAAATAAAACAATAAATTATAATAAAAAACAGTAGAATAGTGTTAAAAGGGAAGTGTGACCTCATAAAACGGCGCATTATTAAAACCGCAAAGGACATGGTTAAAAAAACAAAAAGAAGGCCCTTCAAATTCATGAGGGCGCAGTCAAGCGTTTTAGGTCCACCCTACGTTGAGCCTCGCCTCACTACGGAAGAGGATTACAATACTCACTTTAAAGTGAGAATTCTCACTTTAAAGTCAGAATTCTCAGAATAAAGTCGGAATTCTGACTTAATTCTGAGATAAAAGTGAGAATCTTGCCAACTTTTTTTTTTTTTTTTTCTTCATTGGCCCTAATCCTCTTCCGTACCTCACACTGCGCTCTGCAGACCCGGCTCAAAATTTTGAGGGCTGGGCAACGGGAGTCAAGTTGCATTACAACGTTATGCAGCATATGTGCGATTCTGTAAAAGTAAAAGCTTAGGCAAAACGGAAGCCAAATGAGTACATTTCTAATTTCAGTGTGTATATTGTAAATGTTACAACATTTTTGCATGTTGCATGAAACGAAGTGTAACAGTCTGTTTGTCTTCACTTGTTTAGGCGACGATACACCAGCTGCCGACTGCAAATTCAGGAGATGGCCATTTTTCCAGACATGATATCTAATTTTGTTCGGAGAGTTAATGTATACTACTGTAACATAACCTGTGCATATTGTATTTATTATTTCCTTTAAATGGTTTAGATCTACCAGTGCCCTAAAAAGACAATAGATGAGCATGTAATACTACAACAAACTTCCATACTAGCCCATACAAGTCTTATTTTGAAAATAACACAAAGGAAGCTAGTTTGTGGCACGGCTGAAAAACTAAGAAAGATAAATTGTCTAAAGAGGGACCAAGGTTGTTGGTGTGCGGTGAGGGTCTTGCAAGGCTGGCGGTAGGTACAAATTGACGAATATGCTATTGGAGCCAATGATCCATTCGCATAGTTGTCTAATACTTTATTCGTTCGTGAGCGACTCATCGCGAACATTAATGGGTATGAAGATGGGGGAGAGCGTAAAGACCAGCCGCCAAAGTGCACAGTAGAACTGGCGATGTCTAAGCTAACGCGGCTAACAGTTGCGCGGTGCATTCGAGCAGACGGGACAATTCAAGAATATTGTCCCGCTTGTCCTGTGGCTGTATTCACGTTTGCCTTTCATGAAGGTAACTTGCGTCTCTTGTGTAAACTAACACGAGCGTCGTCGGATGCAGTTAGCCCAGGTCGGCTCCGAGTTGCACTGTTGTGTTTCTGGTGGCCCCCAACACAAACAAATCAGGACATGCGCGCTCCGTTTTGCTTGCAAGCAGGATTTTTCTTTCTCTGCAGACAATGTCGCATGACTTTGCTGCTTGCCCGTCACCTGCCACTTTTGAAGTGGCAGTGGTATGGAAGAGGAACCAATAATTAGTTGATTCATACTCAAATGGTAAGAAATTACATGTAAAAGTATTTTCAGAGGTAATTGTTGCTATAAGTGTGAATTGTAATTTTATAAAGGTTTTACTCAGTTATCGGTGTACTGTATTTAATTGGTGCAACGGGAGTATTCATTATGGAGTGAGTATAATGTTTATTATTGTAGTTGTAGTTTGCAATATTGTATATTACAGAGTTTTGACTCAGAAACAGTTGTGAGTCACACCTAAATTCGTCAATGGAATTACTCTCTTAGTAGCAAAGTCTCCTACAATCTTGAGATTTTTCAGGCAGTTAATATTGTCTGTTTTGTAGTCAAATCTGATTTTGTGGGGCACGGGGAGTATTATTGAGCAGCATTTCATCATATATTTTGGGATCTCCAGAGATGTCTTCAGAAATGTTAGTGGAGTCCACCAAGTCAATCATTACTAAACGGAAGCTGTATTTGCAGAACTGTCAGTACTATCTTGCAAGAATGCAATTAAAATGGCATGTCCAAGTAGACTTTCTCCAACCAACAAGATGCAGAAATTAACTACAATTAGTTACTCACAGTGTCTGTCAGTGAGAGATGTCTTTGGAATCTAAGGCTCCATTCTCTGTGGCTAAGGTGGTTGAAGGTCACCCAAGTCATGTAAAATGAGACATCCTGTGGTGGCTTCACCCAAGTGACATTCAATTGCGGTCTAGATGCAGAAGGGTGAACATCTCCGGCGAAGAAGGCAGTCTTAAATGTTAGAAATCTCCTTTAAACATCACTATTAGCTGCTAGATGTGTTGCTGGAATGATCAGAAAATCACAAGACATAGTGGCCCAGTTGGCAACACTGAGTAAGTCTTGTTTTTGCCATCATCACAGTCACAAAAGTTTTACTTGCCATTTGTGTGCGAGACCATTTTAAATTCCAGGGGAAACATTTCTATATCATGTTTCCTTTAATCTTGCCTCTCTTTTAATTTTAAACTCTGTTCACACCGCAGTAGTTGTATTTCACGACACCACTGTAAAGTATGTTCAAAGGCTAGCTGGGTTTCTGGGTAAGCACCATTTTTTTTATTAACTTTTTAGAACAACAAAGGGAGAAAATAAATCATTTTGTCCACTAAAAGGTCTCACACACCAACTGTACACGTCTGTTGTCTGCTGTCACTGGATCTTTATCAGTAAATAATGTGTGATGAAGGTGACCTGCTTACCATCCTATTATAATAAACACATGAACATGTCACTACTGTTTAATGTAATGTTATGGCCCCCAAAAAATCAAGTGATCATTTTGCGTGATTTCAATTTATTGTTGTTTTTGTGTCTTTGCTATATCACAGTTATTCCAGAGTTGCTTCCATGCCAATGGTGCAGATGATAAAGCGATAGGCTTAACAAATAAAAATGTCATTGAACATAATAAAAGTAGTGTTATGTAATTATGTTTTGCTCACTTGTGACTTGAGCGTATCAAGGTGCAGCACAGGAAGCAATAGCAATGATACTCTGGCCGACTGTAAAGAGCAAGTCCGCTTGAAAGATCTTTTTATATCCTAACAAAACAGGTCACCGTTTGATCAGGTCAGTGTATGTAGGAATAAAGCAAACCAGTTTGTTGACCATTTTTATGGTATATACACTGACCAGCTACAACATTGACCAATTGTGAAATACAGTATGTCATATCCTGCACGAGAGATGAAGCAAATAGTCCATCTTCAAAAAAGATGAGAATGATCGTTTGGATTTTCAGAGCATTATTAATATTACGATATGTTCATTATTATGGTTGGAGTGGTAGCCGTATAATGAGAGCTGTCTAATGTTGTGGTTAGCTAACAAAGTTAGATGCCACGGTCAGTTGTACACTAGTCAATGCGGTAAAAGCACTTTGTTTCTTCTGTCAGGTTGAAGGTGGGTCGCAGGGTTCGTGGAGCAGACGCGTCCTTGTGTCCTTTTGTATTTCCCCTTCCCCCTCCCTGTGTGTTCCCCCTGTGTGTCACTGACCCCGCAACCCCACCCCATCTGATCCCCTGCGCCGTGTCACCACTCCGACCCGAATCCGCCCTCTCAACCCATGCTTGGGACAAAGCCAGCTCACTGCCAGCCCAATGACTGCCTGGATCGTCCTGCCGGTCAGCCTGTCTGCCTTTTCCATCACAGGAATATGGATAGTGTGAGTGGTGCGCGCATGCCTTCAAACCTTATCACGTGTCCTGTGACAATACTTGTTGTGACTGCAACCCTGAAGTGTCCCATACCATTGCCTCTACAGTTTTATATTTGTATAAACAACATGAGACAATGCACGGCTTTGTTTACTGTAACTGCTCCGAAACGTTTTTGATACACGCAGTATACGGACGAAAGTGTTCAAAAGATCCAGCTTTTAATTCATTACCCATTATGAATGATTACTTAACAAGCCTCATAAGAGCACCGTACAAACAGTCCGTTGTGCGCTCTTTTTAAACCTTGAAACATATGTTGCTACCTTTGTATACTGAAGTGCCGCTATAATGGATGACCAAAATAACTACCGTATTTTCACGACCATAAGACGCACATAAAGGTCTAAAATTTTCTCCAAAATGAACAGGACGCCTAATAATGCGGGTTGCCTTGTGTATGCACTGAATTCCAAAATCTGGAAATGCTGTTGTGTGACTTTGATGAGGGGTCCGATTGACTGACTGATGGTGTGCTGACACGTTGCTCATATAGAGGAAAGGCGGACGTAAGTGAGGAACGCATGTGGACATTAAAGTGAGAAGGGTGGGTGTGAAAGAGGAGGCTAAAGGCACGCTCCCAGTATGTCTTAATAGTGCCGGTACGTGCTTTGTGCAAAACAACATCCCAAAAGTGGCACGGACGAAGAGAGAGGCTTGCGAAACAAAGTTTAAACTACAAGCTATCAAGTTACGGGGAGGACCATGGGAATCAAGGACCACCGTGGCGCAGATACATCCAGCCGATTACATGGAAACGCTGGCCAATTTACGCTCCTCCTGCAGTAAAAACTGTAGTGTTCTGCATTACATTAAATAAAGGCGCTTTCTTGGAGATTTAATCCTTTATTCTGACGCTCTGACGCCCTCACTTGGCTTTTATTACCGACCGTTCAGTCGGTAATAAAAGTGTGTGTGTGTGCGTGTGTGTGTGTGTGTGTGTACATAAACACACACACACTTGGTACTCAGAGTGCCGCCTGCAGGCTTCCAGTTGCCCTGATCTACTGAACTTCTGACACTGGAAATTGTATTGTTCACTCTGCAGGTACGCCATGGCCGTAATGAATCACCACGTTTGTCCTGTGGAGAACTGGTGAGTGCTTCTTATGTCAAAAGTGGCCATACGCTGTCACGTCATCTTTATTTTCTAAAACAAATAATAGAATAATACGGTCCTGATCCGATTATGTGATGACTGCAGGTCCTACAATGTAACGTGCACAGAGGAGTTGCTCCGGCCAGGCTTCCCCAAGACCTGTTGCACCATCCAGGACATCCCCCTCATCAGGTCTCCTCTTCTACCTCACACACATTCGTCAATTTCCTCACATTAGTCACCCACAGTCCTCGACAAGCACATGGTGCGATGGTTCTGTGACATCACTGAATCACTCTTTGCATATCCTCTGACTCATTAGTCAGCGCAAACATGTGAAAAGTAATTGCAAGGCCTAGGAATTTATTGAGACAATGATTTCATCAAGTAATCGGAAGCCCCTTTCACACTGCCTCTTTTAAATTTTCTTTTCCGGTGTTGATGTTGAGCGTGAAAGGGGATCGAGAAGGAAATGGATTGAGGGGGTAGCGAAGGTGACCCGTCACTTCAGAGGTCGGACGGGGCCTGTATGAGATGGAATAGCAGTACACTCTGGGTGTCTTGAAAGGCGCTTATAAATAAAATGTATTATTATTACTCTCTAATGAAGTCGTATCGCTGTGTGAGCGAAATGTCACACGTTGGTGGGGTGTATGTGTAAAGGCACAAACTGATAAATCACCATTCGATTTTCCTATTCGCCGATTTTGCCAAAACCATCCTCTGACTCATTAGTCAGCGCAAACATGTGAAAAGTAATTGCAAGGCCTAGGAATTTATTGAGACAATGATTTCATCAAGTAATCGGAAGCCCCTTTCACACTGCCTCTTTTAAATTTTCTTTTCCGGTGTTGATGTTGAGCGTGAAAGGGGATCGAGAAGGAAATGGATTGAGGGGGTAGCGAAGGTGACCCGTCACTTCAGAGGTCGGACGGGGCCTGTATGAGATGGAATAGCAGTACACTCTCTAATTAAGTTGTATCGCTGTGTGAGCGAAATGTCACACGTTGGTGGGGTCTATATGTAAAGGCACAAACTGATAAATCCCCGTTTGATTTTCCTATTCGCCGATTTTGCCAAAACTGTTTGTAATTTTGGCCAGAACCTTAACAGTCAGTGTTCACACCCCGTTTTTGTCTTCATCTTTTGCAGTAAATGTGGTTCTTATCCCCCCGAAAGCTGCCTGTTTAGCCTCATCGGCAACGTTGGAGCCTTCATGGGTAAGATCCTCACTGAAATTAACCACGCGAAAAAACATGGTGATGAGGCAATGTGTGCGCTGCCTGGAAGCTTGTTTGTCTCGTAAATGTGAAATGAGTGCTAGGTGTAGCTTTGCTTGGCAAAAACACCTTCCCGTGTCTTTCAAAAGATACTCTGTTCCCTCAGGGGCGCCTTTTCTACAACATAGAATAATTTGTCTTTATTAATGCATTATTTTGCTGGTGCGCTGGCATGCAATTCATCTGACCTGTGAAACCTTAACAGTCAGTGTTCACACCCCGTTTTTGTCTTCATCTTTTGCAGTAAATGTGGTTCTTATCCCCCCGAAAGCTGCCTGTTTAGCCTCATCGGCAACGTTGGAGCCTTCATGGGTAAGATCCTCACTGAAATTAACCACGCGAAAAAACATGGTGATGAGGCAATGTGTGCGCTGCCTGGAAGCTTGTTTGTCTCGTAAATGTGAAATGAGTGCTAGGTGTAGCTTTGCTTGGCAAAAACACCTTCCCGTGTCTTTCAAAAGATACTCTGTTCCCTCAGGGGCGCCTTTTCTACCACATAGAATAATTTGTTATTATTAATGCATTATTTTGCTTTGGCATGCAATTCATCTGACCTATGAGTAAATCTTTGTATTCATACAGGGCGAAACAAAGAATCCCAAAAAATTGGCTACATGTATAGGTAAAAAAAAAACAGCTTGCTGTCGTCAACACATTTTGGCCAATTGCCACATGATCATGATGTCACATTCCGTGGAGTAGTCATCCAGTACACAGACCAGCCACAATATAATGATATCCAATCGAAGAACTGTAGCAAATATTCCGTATTTACAAATATAGTAAGAGCCCGTTTTCACTGACGCTGCCCAAAAGGTAATAGTAACAATATCCGTAATTCATCACACCCAAAGTTCTTCTGAATATATTTGACTCTCGATTAAGGTCACAAAAATATTACTACCGCATTGATGAACTTATTTGTATGACTAGCTTTTGGAGAGTGTTGGCCAAAACTGACAGTGGCTTTCTTGAGAGTGGCCGAATAGCTGGATCAGTACTTGTATTTAACACCAAAATTGGAATCAACCGGGTCAGTGTTTTTTCACTTTGCTATCAAAAATAGTGACACATCAAATGATCATGGATAGATGATGGCGTACCCTTGGCAAAGTCCTCATTTTACACATGCAGATGCAAAGGTGTTTCTATAGGTGTCATCCGTGCGTGGTGCCCATGTCAGCACGTCAAGCCGTGGAGAGGCTTGGAATAGCCTGAGTTCTCAAAATCAATAATGAATGCACTCGTCCCCTCTTCCCCCCACCCCGACGTTGCTCCGTCATGCACCCTCCATTACTCCCCTTCCTCCTGTCACGCTGGATCACCATTTAGTTCTGACATTTTTTTTCCGCCCTCCTCTGCTCTTCATTCTTGGGAAGTGGGGATTCCTTTTTTTTTCCCAACATGTAGGTAAACAGAATCCTTAACAGATTCATTTATGACATTTGTATTTTGAATATAAAAATGTGCCATCAAACACGCATGCCTCGGCTGCTCCATCTGTCTGTTCTTCCTCCTCCTCTGTCACTCATGGACAGTTGTACAGGTGAGGCACGGTGACCTCAGCATACAGTGTCTGCGGCTTGGACGTACTACCTAGGGCCAAAAGTTTCCAATGTGTTGATCAACTGCTATTGTACAAATGGCCGCCGTGCCTTTGGCAAGGTTCATCACAATTCACGCCAAGATTTCCACCTGGCTCCTTTTTCATATGGAAAACAATGTGATGAGGATTACGCTCATGCCATCTTTCTTTACGTGAAAATCCAAATTGTCAGATGATTTTTTTTTTTTTTTTTTTTTTGCTGACACTTTGCATTCTATACTCATTTTTTTTTTTTTTTTTTTTTGCCGACACTTTGCATTCTATACTCATCTTACATCAACTTTAAAAATAGATGGCTCACTTATGATTTTCTGTCAGCAAAAAAATGCCTCCAGAAGTGCAAAGGAGCCCCGTCTGCCTCTACCAGAATCGAACATCTGTTTGCTATCAAACCAGCAAGCAATCAGCCGATGGCCACACTAGCTAGTCCTCTGCTAAAATGACTTCTTAAAAGGAGGGTGTTCAGGCAGCCTCATTCGGTGTTACAGAAAGAACACAAAAATACACGTACGGCGTGTTTTTCTGCAGTTTTACAAAGCAGTTCTGTTCTGTGATGACGGTGAGTTCAGAACTCACCATCAACAATCTCATTGGCTGTGTATGACAATATATCAGCCCTGCTCTTTTGTTGTATTACATTGACCTCTTTCAAGTTGATAACGAGCTCTAAATAACGCTTTGGGGTATTTTCCCCCCACCCGCCTTGTCTCTTGTCGTGTGAGGTAATGAAACACAACTTGGGTCAAATTCACCTGGCAATATTGCTGCTTCTGAAAAAAGAAAGTAAGAAGATTTCGTTAGGTTCTTCTGATGATTGATTTGAGTATCTTTTCCCATTACAAAGGCAATGTAGGAACAAAAGGAATTTGGGAATAGATTTCCATTGTTTTACTTCATACGACTCTACTGAAGCTTGAAGTAGGTTACCAATGCGGTTTTATGTCCCTGTGCATTTCAAATTCACCTGGCAATATTGCTGCTTCTGAAAAAAAGAACGTAAGAAGATTTTGTTATGTTCTTCTGATGAATGATTTGAGTATCTTTTCCCATTGCCAAGGCAATATAGGAACAAAAGGAATTTGGGAATAGATTTCCATTCTTGTACTTCATACGACTCTACAGAAGCTTGAAGGAGGTTACCAATGCGGTTTTATGTCCCTGTGCATTCGTTGTCCGCAGTGGTGATGGTGTGCCTTCTGCGCTACGCCCAGGTGATAGAACACAGCCACAGATGTTGGGTCAACACCAGCGCTCTGGTGTCGGGCTGTACCAACGCGGTGGGTCTGGTCATGGTGGGCAACTTCCAGGTAAACTCACTCGGCCCTCAGCCTGACCCTCCCCCTCGACGGAGATCATAATGCACGCAGGCCCGTGTGTCTGGCAGGTTGACCACGCCAAGTCTCTCCACTATGTGGGCGCCGGCGTGGCCTTTCCAGCGGGGCTGCTCTTCGTGTGCTTGCAGTGCGTGCTCACCTATCGGGTGGCCGTCACTGCCCTTGACTACTGGATGGCCCACTTCCGCGTGGCTCTGGCGCTCGGAGCCATGGTCTCCCTGGTACTCAGTATCCTTTTCCTGACCAGACCCCAATTGTGTAGAAGAAATGTGGTTTGAAGTTAAAAGGCATCGTGCCATTAATTTCACTCATGTTGCTTTTGTACCGCATACATTTGTGGCCTCAATCTAAGGCTCAATTAATTCATCGGTTCATGCTTTTCTTGCATGTTTTGGGAGGTGAAAATTACTCTGTGTTGTAAAGCTAAACAAGTAATTTCGAAAAAAAGTATGTTTAAATCATCAAATGGTCTGCCTGTAATTCATATCTTTGTTGTTGTGAGTATGCATACCAACAAAGTCATGAGTGTCCCCTCGGTGACCAAAGTCAGTGCCACCGAAGGGTCAATCTTACAGCATCTTCTCGCATTGAACATGAGGAGTCAAAGCAACAGGAGCAAACTTAAATACTTTTATGAATTATTATCTATGTACTTTTAAAAAACAATTAGCCGATTGATTGATTGATTAACTGAATCCTTTTCAGCCAAATGTTGGCATTGGCTTTAAAAAAAAAAAGCCAAATTGGTCCGGGCGCTATTGTTCACATCATTTATGAATTGACCGAAAAGTGATTACTGTGCATGTCTCCGCTCCACTTGTATGTTTGGCAGTAAAGCTAAATGACATGCAGCTAGAGGTCCTCCACTTGTTACTTGTCCCTCTTTTCTCCGAAACGGCTCAGAATCTCCCTTCTTCTGGATGCTCCTTCACCTTTTCCTCCCAGGCGGCATCTTCTTCGTGCACGAGAGCTTCACGCTCCAGCACGCCGCAGCCATCTGCGAGTGGGTCTTCACCGTGGACATCCTGGTCTTCTACGGCACCTTCACCTACGAGTTCGGGACGGTCACCGGCGAGACCATGATGGCCGGCCTGCAGCAGTGTCTCCGCCATGGCTCGGGGGTAATCTTGGGCCCCGGGGCCCGGGACTCCACGCTGAGCGGGGCGACCAAGAGTCTCAAGTCCCCCGGAGGGAGCAGCACGTCTACACACCTCAACTGTACCCCCGAGAGTATAGCCATGTTGTAGCTCTACGCGGAGGAGCTCCGCGGTTGCCTGCCACATGGAACGATGACCGAGGTAGCATGCCAAGAGAGAGACTCGTTCTGTTTTATAACAAATTCAACCAACACCCCTCTGTATTTGCTGTCATATCTTTTTTTTTCCCCCCTCCCAACAAGGTGCTTGATTGGCGAGCAGCTGCAGTCTGCTGTCCTTGTGCAGTGTTACAGGAATTTAAGGAAGTCATACGAAAAGTGAATCACTGCACACCCCGTGACCAACAAGTGCCCCAACTGGCAGGTTTTGTGAGTTAAAATATGGCCTGTGAAGTGACAAAGAGAGACACACAATCACGCTGCGCTTTCATCCATTTACTGAACACGACAAACTGTCTGACTAACTTGCCATGATGTCACTCACTAGGACGCATTTCTTACTTTGGCTCATTCTAGCATCCAGTCATTACACTATTCCAATATTGTAAAGTGAGTTACCACGTGGGTACTCACTGCACCCTATACCTGTGGTCCCCAACCACCGGGCTGCGGACCGGTACCGTGCCACAGGCCACCCTAGACCAGGTTGCGGCGGGCCGCGCAGATGTAAGAACCTTTCACTACTTCCAGTTTATTTATCATCCAAGGCTGAAAAATATTTTATTTTGAAAGGTAAACAGATTCTCTCGGTTACATCCTTCTGTGAGGGACTCTTTGTCGCATGTCAAGATGCTCAATGTCTTGGTTGCGTAACGCTAAAATTAAACACGATTGTGAAAATGAGTACAAAAAATGAAGACCACACCCAAAGCCCGTTCTGCACAATAATATTTTTTGATTTAGAATTTTGGTGCATTTTCATGCACTTAATGTTATGTGGTGCCTTTCAGCAGGACACTGCTAATATAGTTACATAAAAATGTGGCTTAATGTTTGTTGTTATATGTACGAAATATCCCCGCCCCTTTTTTTATTGTATTTTATTTGAGTTTTTCTTGTGTCATTCATACACCTTATATTTGTTCTGTAGTGTCACTTGCATGTTTGAGTTACCATAGTGACCATGTTAAAGCGTTGATTTTATCCATGTGATTGCATTGGTGCTTCTAGTAAAGGTGCCGTACATAAAAATCCACACATCGCATTCACGTTTGTTGCCCCCGACCCCGCCCCACGGTTGAACTTCCACAATCATTATGAACTTGTATGAACCGGTCCGCAGCAAAAAAAAATAAAAATAGGTTGGGGACCACTGCCTGAAAAAAATGTCCTCAAGTTCAGCTGTAAAACAAAATGGGGAACGTGCACCACGGAAAGATCTCAAATTGGATTTAGTTCAGTTTGTTTGAGAATAATGACTTCCGCCACCCCAAAAAGGCCTTTCACTCTTTGATGACCAATTCAGTGCATAACTTTTTGTATGGCGTCTTACTAAATTCGGCTTGCGTATTCATGCTGTCGGACTGTGTCAAGGTTGTTTAATCACTGAATGTCTTCAGGATGGTTGCTGATATGATGTTTTCACTTTTAGATTTGTCTTAATGAAATGTGCGTGTCTATTAGCAGGAGGATGCATGACTTGAAGCAGCTTTTTTCAAAGCTGGTGAAAGGTTGAATCATGGACCTTGAACCCTTTTGGATGGAATTGGGACAACATTCCACTGGTGTTTGGATTGTTTACCTCGAAGGTGTTTTGATCCATAGTTGGACAACTGGGTTGCCTTGATTTGAGGAGTTTTTTTTTGTTTGCTTTTTGTTTTTAAATCGTTTTTGAAAGTTTCCCCACTTCATGGATTTCTGCACAAATCAGAGCATCCAATCAATGTTTGTGTCGTACAAACAATTCTGAATGTTGACGACAGTTAACGGCCTTGTTTTAGTCTCAAGCTTTATTGATGGCACATCCAGAATTAATTAACTGGATCATAGTTTCTCATCCGAACACTCTGAATTTGAAGCCTTTTTTGTAACGTTGACCATTGATCAGCTCGGCTGCCCTTGTGAGCAGATGGAACCATGATGGCCCATTAGCTGCATGATTGTTTCATTCTACATTCAGGACACGCTCACACTCGTCCATATGAATCGTGATTGAGCCTACGTGGTTTTAGCATTGGACTAATCTCGGAATGAATATAGAATGAGCGTGAGTGCAAGGCGTGTTTCAATCCACCGGTGACTCAAACGGGACAATTCAAACCGATAAAATACCAGAAAAAGTCAGCACGTTCTCGACAATTATACACTTGGCCCATGCTTACGGAGTTTCACACCTTTGAATATTTCCATCGCGGGTTGCTTTCATTTCCTACTGTACCGTGTTCTGATGGCAGTTGGACAGTTAGGGGATCTGATTCAAATGAACCGGATCGTTATCTGGCTTCCGCAGAGCTTGCGGATGAGCTGATCATTTGAATCAGATGTGTTGGAGGAGAAAAACATCCAAAACATGCAGGACCGGGGCCCTCGAGGATCGGAGTTGGTGACTCTTGCTTTACAGCCATTTGAATGAAATTGCGCCAGACTTCACTCGTGTTTGTTCTCTTTAATCCCAATCCTATCTGTCGACAAACAAATAGTTGTACTGTTGATTTCTTTGATTTTTGTCAAGCAACAACGATATTGCACAGCCAACTGACCCTTAAAACTCATTCACTCCCAAAGACATTTTTAAACGTCTTTTCAGACTTGGTCCAGAATTGGCTGGTACTGAATGAGTTTTAAAATGAGAAAATACTCACTGCGTCTGTTATGACTTCTTGCCATCTGAAAACGACGACTGCGGTAAAGCTTCTCCAGTCACCTGCAAGTTTTGACCCGTTTTCAGTTTGAGCTCGGCTGCACCTTGTTGCCCCTCTTTAGTTTGATGGCTCCATTGTGAACATATGATTGACAGACTCGGAGTACTCTGCTCAAAGCCATCGGTTGTCCAGTTCATTCTTGTTTCTTGAACGCTGGGGATCAAGATAAAGGGGCGTGCTTCAGTCGTGTCTTGCGACTCTTGCCAATTTTGGTTGTTTTCTGATGTTTTTAAAAAGTACACAAATTTGTGAATAAACAGATTTAGCCTTATCCCTCATGAAGGGAACACATTTCCTTTGTTTGGGTCTTTGCGTTGAGCCTTAGCCATGTTCACTATTTTGAAACCAAATTCACAAGGTGTGACTTTGACAGGCAGCTTGTATGATCCATCAGAGTAATGTTGGATTTATTATTCTGTGTCAGCATCAATACAATATGCCATGTGCACATATTCAACACTGGATTTTAACTTTTTTTTTCGGGAGCGGGGGCAGAAAATGTACACAAAAGTCCCTTTTTTTTTTTTAAATTTTATTTTTTTGACATGGCATGGGCTCCAGCTCAGCTGTAACCCGAGTGAGCATAAGCAACATACAAAATAAATGGCTGCCGTGAACTATCACGGACACAAAATGAAGTGATCACTTCATTTTGACTCGTGTCAAATGAGATCCCCCCCAAATGCACACTTTTTAAAAATTGTGTAAATATGTATGCTATGTCTATCATTTAGGTCTTTTAATTTGAAAGAGATTTATATTCAAATATGAAATAAAATTTTAAATGATGACAATGTGTTATTTTCAAGTTGTGCTTGATGGGTTACCTTGGAGATGTCCTAGCACAGCTGATGTTGCATTGTAGGATTGCTGGATCAGCATTCCAGCATCACAGGGAAGTTGAGTCATTTGCTGAATCGTACAACAAATTGATTTATTTGAATGTTTCAGTCCAAAAAAAACTAAACTGTCAAGTCCTTCGTTTCGCTTTAAAACACTTGCATACAAATGTTGACGTTTTTTTTTCAAATTCGGGATTCTCTAATTTATGGGGGGGGGGGGGGCGTTTCAGAGAGAATGCATTCAAGACATGTCGGGGTGCTCCTGCTCAAAAGAAAAAACGAACAAGCATCACTAGTGTAAAATGATTGGTTTACATTTTCAAACATCATATAAAAAGTATGGAATGAATGAGAATAGGACATGGAACAAATAAAGATGTCACATCATTTATATAATAAATTATATCTTTTTGTGGAAATTGTATAAACAATACTGAGTCACTACTGCAAACTGAAGGCTATAATGTGTGTACTTTCACTCTGATAGTTGAGAACGTCCTGAATATTTAGAAATGGTCAAAGGTCACTGTCATGTGTACATTGCTCCATGGAGGTCCTCCAATCTGTGCTCCCTCTGTTTTCTTCTCTCCTACAGGACACAAACATACACTAAGCAAATACTTAGGTGAATACATGTGTTCATTTGCTCACCTTGTCTTTCTTGAACTCCTCATAATCTGGATTATCAGTGGGTAGTTCAAGTCGACACAGCGGGCAGGAGTTAGTCTTGAGTTTGAAAAAGTAAAAAACAGAAAAAGACTGTTACATGAGATAGAAGGCTGCTTTGCAACAGACCGAACCCCAAAAAGTACACGTGCTGTTAGTACCTTGCCGAGCCACGGCAGGATACATCCCGAATGGAAAAGATGTTTGCAGGGCATTTCTCGAACCGTCTCCTGCTCTTCAAACTCCAGTAAACAAACGGGACACTTCAGGCCTTTGTCTGCAACAGCAAAAGGTTATCACGACTAAATGACCCTTTTCCCCCACCAGCGCTTTTGCTCGTGCTAGTTCCGGGCCAATGCCCAGGTTAGCACAAGTTCTTTCTTTTTCCACCACCGAAATTGGCTCTCACTCTAGCTCTGGTGCTTAAGATGGCCCCAATTATTTATACTCTTGTCCAGGTTATTTTTTTATTGACTCCCTGGACACACAGAAATTTGTCCAAAAAACATGTCACACACTCCTTTGACACAATTGTCCTCTTTTTATAGTCATCCTTTAGCAACATAACTGCAAGTACATACAGTATACATTTTTGCTGCGGAAATTCAACAGAATAAATAATATCTGTGTGAAGTGCTTATCGACCTTTCACCTGCTTGTTCAGGAGAAATGACAACCACATTGAGGGTCTGTACAGCTACTTTTGCAGCAGGAGGAGGGAGACGCTGATTCCAGTCTGATGAATCCCCTGAGTCCATCAAATCCAAACCCTGCATCAGAGACCTTCACACGCAAACACAAGCCAATATAAAAGGTCAAATGGTGTCTTAATGTAATGATGGTTGTCTTAATCTCTGCCAGGACCACTGAAAAAAATGTGAACATTTATTCCATAACCGTGATATCTGGTTCAAAGTCGATATTTTAGTTAACTCGGACAAATAACGTTGCTATTGAGGCAAAAACTGCACGAGAGCAGTGTGTGGTACCACTAGTAGTATTTTGGCTCCCTCTAGTGATAAGTGAAAGAATAACTCCCTAAGGTTATTATAATAATAATAGCTTATTTTTTAGCATACTAGTTACATATCAAGGCTTTAAAGGTCTTAAATTAGTTAACTAGTCAATGTTTTATCCACCACTAGTTAACGAGTGGCGATTTCAGCTCCCATTAGTTAACTGGTGCAGGAAATCATAGGCCACTAGTTAACATGTTAGAACAATCCACGTTTCACTAGTTAGTTAACATGTTAACACTTAAATCTTACTAGTTAACTGCTAAGACCTCACTAGTATGGTGCAGTGGGCCACTAGGCCATCAAAAAGCTGACTTGCTGGGAATTTGCCACTGCTAGTGTGCTTCCAGGTGTCACTAGTTAGACTTGTGTCAGCACTTGTTGGACTAGACGTGGCACTAGTTGCCGAAAATGAGTGACTAGTGAGCGTTTCCGTGCTGCTAGTACGAGAAAGTGCAGAACTAGTGTGGCTGAATATCCACCTAGTGCTGACACAGCCCAAACTAGAGAAATACACTAATGTCTGATATCGAAGAAATGGAATAAATGCTCAAATGGCTTGCCATAGATGTAAACGTTCCGTCAAGTGTATCGTGTAAAGTACTTGTCCTACTAGAGAGGACAAGGAGCGTGCTACTACTTGTACATGGACCTTAAGACCGATCTCAAGCACAGTATATGGAATAAATGCTCAAATGGCTTCGCATAAATGAATGACAAGAAGATCGTCACCTGGCCAGTTCAAGTAGAGCGTTCTGGCGATACTGTTCCTCAGGGTTGGTGGGCTCACAGTCGTGCTCGTCGAAGTAGGATGCCATTTTGCTCTTCGGAAGGAAAAAAACAATGACGAATGCTAACAGTTGACGTTCTGAAGAAAATTGAATTGACTTTTTTTTTTTAAAGTTCAAATTTAATTATCGGTCAAAATGTTGAACAGATCAAGTACTGTATGCTGTATATGTGACCAAACAAAAATGCAGCCAGCAATATGTTCGGTTTCGTTGAGACTTCGGACAATTTCCATCCCTTCTTAAGATTGCAAAAATTGAAAACTGTTATACAGTACTTTAATTGCTCATAACTAGAGATTTCACTTTCACTTACCTTAAAAATCTAGAAGGCTTGTATCGAGAACCATTTGTCATTCTTCCGGGTACAACAAGCCTAATCACGTGATACTGCTTTTGTCCAATCACCGCACTCGAGTTCTTTGAGAAGGTGGTACTATTCCTGACACGTGGTAGTTATTCTCACCAATCACCGTGCCCTAGTTATTCTGTATTATTTTTAATTGAAAACGAAAAACAATCGGGATTAAAGTGCATACAGTCAGGAAAAAAAAAATATTCACTCTTGACGAGAGTCATCGACATGCTCTCAACAAGTTACATCACTGCTTTTGTCCAATCACCGCACTCGAGTTCTTTGCGAAGGTGGTACTATTCCTGACACGTGGTAGTTCTTCTCACCAATCACCGTGCCCTAGTTATTCTGCATTATTTTTAATTGAAAACGAAACAAAACAATCGGGATTAAAGTGCATACAGTCAGGAAAAAAAATATTCACTCTTGACGAGAGTCATCGACATGCTCTCAACAAGTTACATCAAAGTTTTTGACGAGTCCCCACCCCCACCGTGTAAGCCTGGTGTCCCAAATGTCTGCCCACAGCCGAACGAAAGAAGCACCGGGAAAACTTTTGATTCCAAAACAGTATTTATTTGTGAGGGGACCTCACTATTGCCACGGTTGTCACAAGATGAAAATCATAGGCAACAATCAAACCCGTTATCTAGGTTAAATAACTAGCTGCGAAAATAATTTCAAAAATACCGTACAGTATTTGACATGTTACATGAGTTCTTGGCAAGAACTCATGTAACAACTTCTTGGGATAGAGCAATTATTTTAACTGATCGCGTAGTCTACGATAGACTCAAGTTTGGTAATCTGAGGAGTAGATCAGCGAGGACGAGTCTCATTTTCTCTCGTTTGTGTTCATTAAATGCCAAAATGTTTCAAGCCCAACACAATAGTTTTAATACAGTAACTTATATTGACAAAAGACACAAGTGCAGCTATAAATATCACAATTTGATAATCAAATGCCACAGACTGTCCTTTATTGACCAACAATTCTGTCATTGTAACAACAGTAGTCCAGCATCACTGTCCCACCAATCGTCAGCATCGTTGTGTAGGGAGGAGTAATCAAAAAATACTCTTGGTAAGCATCCCAGTGCCTCTCGCAAGAACTCATGTAACAACTTCTTGGGATAGAGCAATTATTTTAACTGGTCGCGTAGTCTACGCTAGACTCAAGTTTGGTAATCTGAGGAGTAGATCAGCGAGGACGAGTCTCATTTTCTCTCGTTTGTGTTCATTAAATGCCAAAATGTTTCAAGCCCAACACAATAGTTTTAATACAGTAACTTATATTGACAAAAGACACAAGTGCAGCTATAAATATCACAATTTGATAATAAATGCCACAGACTGTCCTTTATTGACCAACAATTCTGTCATTGTAACAACAGTAGTCCAGCATCACTGTCCCACTAATAGTCAGCATCGTTGTGTAGGGAGTAGTAATCAAAATACTCTTGGTAAGCATCCCAGTGCCTCTCGTAAAATTAAAGGTTTACAAAATACATTTTTGATTCACTCTTTTACAGTAATAGCGTGGAGATGCCAGGAATCACTACAAACTGCAATGTGTGTGTAAATTTCCACTTTTGCTGAATGAATGGTGTAAGTGAACGTTCATTTTCATCAGCGAAAACAAGGAATGATTTGGTCATGAAAATTTTCAAAATGCAAGATTTCGCAAGTGTGTGCTTTCGCTTCCCACCATTAACTGCTGAACAATTACACTGAACTGGAATTATTCAATGACAAAAAATATCCAGATGATCAATTCTAGAAACACATTGTTACTCTAAGAATATCTGACTCGTGTACTGTACATCATTTTTTTCCCCCCAACATGCTGGGATAAACAATTCAAACCTAAAACGTGTGGCTGACTGAATAAATCCAGAGCGAAAAGACAAAGCATCTTCACATACCACGAAAAATCAATTTCTCACTCGGCCAACTTCCAGTTGATGCTTCATTTACATTAATGCCATTGCTTTATCAAACATGGCACAATAAAACACGAAAACATCTCAACATTATCAACTGGCTGAAAATTAGTTAAAGCAGTGGTCCCCAACCACCGGTTCGCAGCTTGATACCGGGCCACGGCCTGTTTGGGACCGGGCCACAGAGACAGACCTGCGAGCTGTGAGCAAATTTACTCCATCAGACATGGCGGGAATGTGCGCCACTCTAGCCAATCGAAGTGCCCCTTCTAACATTGGTTTGAAGGTCGAAATCAACAGAATCTGCCAATGAATTAAAGAACATCTATCCATTTTCTGATCCGCTTTATCCTCAGGAGGATCGCGGGGTGTGCTAGAGCCTATTCCAGCTGTCTTCGGGCAGTAGGAACCGGTTGCCAGCCCATCGCAGGGCACACAGAGACGAAAAACCATCCGTGCTCACACTCACACGTAGGGACAATTTAGAGTGTTCAATCAGTCTGCCCGAAAAACCATCCGTGCTCACACTCACACGTAGGGACAATTTAGAGTGTTCAATCAGCTGCCCTGCATGTTTTTGGAATTTGGGAGGAAACCAGAGTACCCGGAGAAAACCCACGCAGGCCCGGGGAGAACATGCAAACTCCACACTGCACTGTGAGGTAGACGCGCTAACCACTGGACCACCGGGCCGCCCGTAAACAACATCACAGTAACAAATTGAGCAAACGTATACAGTATCTAAACACGTAGCTGATGGGCAGCCATGACTTCCGAAAATGAAGCCATTTTGACAAGAGAAGTTCCTCCCCTGGTGATATCGCCAGAGCGACGTGGAGGAGTAAGCTGTTCTGCGTGCTATGTCTTCCAAAAACAAACAAACAAACAAAACAAGGCAATACAAGAAACCTGTTGAATCATTTGAACAAGTATCAAAACTTCAAGTGGAGTTTGAACAACCTGCCCACCTAAACATTGGCAGTTTAGTCGCTAATAACTAGCCAGCCAGCAGCCACCGGATGGAAGCTGCAAACAATCGTGTCATCTTTTCTAAGTAGCAAAGGCTGTGTGTAGGATCGTAACTTAAAAAATGATTGTTTACATTATAAGGCGTATTTATTATTCCTATTTGGTCCATTTCTTAATAGTTCACTGTTATTTTGCTTCATTCTATTAGTTGTGCAGTAGAATAACATTGTTTGAAATGAATGAATGTTAATAAAATGTTGAATTACTCTACAAGTATCATTGTTATTAGTAACAGTGCTTTAAAACTGGCAAATAAAATGCGATGGAAAAAAAAAATGGATGCCGGTCCGCAAACAGCATGTACTTGTCTCAACCAGTCCGTGACACAAAAAAGGTTGGGGACCACTGAGTTAAAGTGTAATCACACAATAGTAAGTCACCTGCTCCCTGCTCTGATTGTAACTTTTTTTTTAATCCTAAAAAGGACATACTCAACCAGCGAGAATGTTAATAATCCAAATTTTTATGATTTTTTTTTTTAGTCCTCTGTCTTTTTTACTGTCAACCTGATAAGTAAATAAACTAGAAAATATAATAGGAAAAAAAAACAAAATACCCAGAAAGCTGAAGTCATAAGTCAAAACACGCAACCGTTATTTCACCCTTGATTTCCATTGTTCACAAATGTCGGGTAAATCTACCACAGTTTACACACTCAATCCGAGGCAGGGTGAATGTAGTTTAGCCTAAGCATGTTATGTAATTCATACACACTTTCAAAAGGTTACACCCTTAGATTTACACTGTATTTATACCTCGGCTGCTCTGGCCACTTTTGTCGGCAGTACCACAAGTACTGTAGATGCCTCTCTCTTTAACTAAAGAGCTTCACAAAGCAGCCGTGGCAGTAGGGTTTGTCGTTCTGTTCTTTAAAGGTGCCCTTGTTGAGTTGCTTGAGGCAGAAGGCACAGACAAAGTGTTCCGGGTGGAACTTCTTGGACATGGCTGTGATACAGCGACCCGTGATGGGCTTCTGGCAGCCGGAGCACAGGGACCCACGGCGCTCGTGGTAGTGGACTTCGCAGTAGGGTTGCCCATCATGCTCAAAGAAACTTCCATTGACAAATGGCGTGAAACACTCCTGAAGAGAAATAATGGACAAAAGATGAAGTTGTGTATTACATATTCTCTAAGCACATCTTAACATGGTCATAAACCACTGTCATATACACACCCTGCAAACAAAACACTCCGGGTGCCAAAGCGAATTGAGTGCTGAGATGTAGTTCTCCACAATGGCTCGAGCACAGCCACCACACTTTGGCGCAAACATGTCAAAGTAATCCTTCCTGCAGTAAGCCTTGCCATCCTTTTCGTGAAACCCTTGTAGGGAAAACATCAAGGAGCTCAGATATCAGACAATCCAATTCATGTAATGCCGAGACAGAATTTGATCAAGAACCCACACTACCGTCTGGGTCGAAGAAGCATCCACACTGAGCACAGAAGAAGTGTTCAGGGTGCCATGTTCGATCCAGCGCAGTTACAACTTGCTGTAAACATGAGAACACATTGTGCAGGTTGAGTTAAAGTCAGCGCAGGTATTTGGCGACAACAACAACAAAAACGCAGGGACACACATTTAGTATGGGCCCGTTGCAGTAGTGGCATCGAGGAGAAAACAGGTTATGGTAGTCTCTCTCGCAGTAAGGCTGCCCTTCCCGCTCAAAAAAGTTTCTGGAGCCGATCTCCTCTTGACAGTGCGTGCACACAAAGTGTTCAGGATGCCATGTGCGCCCCATGGCAGTCACCAACTACACAAACACAAATGAATATATAAAGGCATCACCGAATCATTTTTGCTCTCAGATGACAGCAATTTACGGCGTATCTCACCTGTCCAACGATTGGCTTGAAGCAGGCACCACAAACTCCTTTCGCCACAGTTTGCACACCCAGTTTGTTGAGGTCCGACTGCAGGCTCCCGAGCATGTTGTCCAGCTTGTTGACCTGCGTCTGTGGACCGCCAGGAGCACCCCCTTTCCCTTGAGCCATCTGAGGAGGTTGGAATGTGGAAAGGGTTGAAAACACCGCTCATAGCTTATCGCGCTAATGGAAAGCATTTAAAAGGTGCGACACCCAGAAAGGGGGGAAAAAAAATACGACGGGTTCATGCCTGCACCGAGGAGAAGAGAGGGTCATAGTCAGTTTGGCAGCCTACAGATACCAGGACCTTGGGTGCAACTGGTGGAACACTTTCCAGTGATGTAAGCTGGGTTGGGCTTTTATGAATAGACAGAGGGGGCTCTAGTGTGGGGGTAGGTGGGTCCTGAATGGGTGCTGGTGGCTGTGGTGCTGGTGAAGCCGTTATGATGTGCTGAAGTGGAACTTTGACTTGCTCTTGGTTGTGACGAGGGTGAGGAGGGGGACAGGGAGGTAGTGGGGGTGGAGGTAAAGGAGCAGGAGTCTGCTGCACGGGGAGCATTTGCTTCATTTTTTCTATGATAGGAGGATGACGAGGAGCAGGAGGTGACTGAGGCGGGAGAACCTGTTTCACGGCAACAGGTGACCCGGGGACAATGACAATCTAAAGTGGAAGAGAGACACACGGAGGGAGCACACAAAAAGAAACAGAGTCGACACTGAAGGTGAATTAACTGGGGGGGGGGGGGGGGGAAGCATCTGTTGAAAACACTGCAGCCAACCTTGTCCACCTCGCCGACCGCTCCATCAGGACGGAAGCGTTGAGGCTTGGACGTGACAATGACCCCGTCCGTCAGCCAATCATCTGGCTGTTTACGTCGACGCTCAGAGCGGCTGATACCAAACTTGCCCTGGAGCTCCTCTATGAGGCGGTCCTGGGTAGAATTCTTGTTGACGATGATGGGACCCGTTTTCCTGCGCAGGACACCGTCTCGATACATAGGGTGCACATTGGGGGTCTCCTTAGTGCGCCTTATCACAGATTTGATCTAGACAGGAGTGTCAAGCAGCTCATCATCAATCCACTGTAACTATGGCCCAGTGATGAACAAGCAAGAGCACACCGAGCGGGTGAGTCACCTGATGACATTTCCAAGCAGGGATGCAGTAGTTGGGGGAGGAGCTTAAGACTCATACTTTTCCATGCTGTACCGAGCCCAACGGTAACCCCAATATCTCAGAGCTAAGCTTTCTCGGGAGCACACGGTGAGTAGAACAGCAAAGCAACCCATGTTAAAAGTCTAACGTCAACATGGAGGCGTTCATAAATTAGAAAAAAAAATGTGCTGGGAGGGGTATTCATCTGCTGTGTTTCAATCCCCACAAATGACAAGCAGAGTGTGTAGCAGCAGGCACTACTTGCTAGAGATGTGTCACTCCAATCAGCAAACAACGTTACACGTGAGAAACACAAGGACATCCTGCATTGAGCAAGTGAGATGCCTACATGTCCCGAGGCAGAAACTCTGTCCATATTGGGCGGCTGCAACAAAGGCAGGTCCAGGGCAATGTCTGGCGACCCGGGGCATGTGGACGGCGTCATGGAATCGTCCATCCAGCTGGCTTCCGTCAGTGGAGTCACACTGCCATCTGTGTACAGCCTCTCAGTGTACGGCGTCATGGTGCCATCCAGTCCGTCGTGGAAGGACATGGACAGTTCCTCATCAGCCCAGTCCAAATCTCCGTTGGTGTCGGTACCTCCGTCCACAGATTCATCTGTGATGGTGTTGGCGCTGCAAGTGAACATGTCAGGCTGCACACCGGTTCTGTCCATGGGCAGGATAAGCTCCTCCTGCACCTCGGGGGCTCCTCTGCCAAGACAGGGCGCCTCCATATGGAGCTGCAGATCCTTCACCTCGGCCGCCGAGTCACTTTGAGAAAAACTCATCTCGAGCAGTTTGTCGAGTGCTTCATCCAGGGAGGGTTCTTCGACAGGGAGCTGATGCAGAGTGAGGGGGCTGGCATTCTTGGCTGGGGCTTCTGGCTGCATCCCATGTACACTAGCCATTGAAGAGCTCGGGAAAGTTATAGGTGAGGGAATGTTGGCCGGAGAGACCGGGGAGGAGGTTTTGAAGGAGTTACTGATAAGGGGTGGAGACACAGAAGTCATACAAGGGAGAGGTGAAGGAGTCTTTGGCACAGATAAAGGTGGGGTGAGGGACTGAAGGGGTGAGACTGAGAGATTCATATGAGGATCATGGATGGCAAAGGAGCCACTGATCCTCTCATCAGATGAACAAGATGGTTTACAAGCAGCTGCAGGGGGTGAAAAACGCTCCACAGATAGGCTAGGTGATTTCGAAGTCTTGTTGTCTAAGACTGTGTTTACTGAAGTCATTGAGGGAGTAGTGGATGGGCTTGAACTGTTTCTCTGCTGGTTGTTTCTAACGGAAGCAGTGAGGACAAGCAATGAATTGTTTGCCGATGGTGGAACGGTGGCAAACACATCTGCGACAGAGTCCAGATCACTGGCTGCAGAAAGGGACGATATAGGACTGTGACAAGCGAGACGATTCAAATAGGCCGCTGACGAGCCGCGGTCGACTCCGTCCTCATCTATATGTAGTTCGAGACCAGCAGGCAAAGAGAACATAGGAGAGGCACAGGCAGATGAGTGGGACAGACTGAGGAAAGGAGAAGCCACTGGGGTGACGAAGGTAGAGACTGGAGGATGAGGAGGGGTGGAAGAGGAGCTGGGCTAGAAACACAGAAATGAGAGTAAGCCTGAACGCAGGAACTGCGAAACCATCCTGAATATGACAGGATTTTTTTTTTAAACTGTGATTTTTATACCTTGAAGTCAGACAAAGAGGCCATCAGTTCATCTAACTCTCGTGTGGCACATGAAGCCGAAATCCGTGTCTGCTGTTGAGAGGGGCTGTCCAAATCACTGTGGCGAGGGGATGGGCTGGAAAATAGAATACAGAGCATTTAACCTTTGAACCATGAAACTCAAAATGACCATTCTCCCAAATACTATCTTGGGACCAGAAAGAAAAACTTCAGATGTGTACCATGAGGGTCAGAGCAGACATCCATTTGCCGTTTGTTCATATAACAAATGAAATTAAGCAGGGAGTTGATGTTGAGCTCATCCGAACCTGGTCGAAGGCACTGAACCCTCCAGCTCATCCAAAAGACTCTCCACTGTGGGTCGGAGCTCATCCTGCCTTGTTCCATTCCTCTTGGGCTCCTCCTGAGGTGGAGGGCTAACTCTGATGTCAGGGGCATTGCCATTTTCATAGTGGGTGATGCTGGTGGATGGTAGCGGTGGGGCCCTCTCTTCTGCAAAAACATGACCATTACTCATCCCGTTGCGCAGTTAACAGGCCTGATGAAGAGGAAACCCTTGAATGTACCTGTAGTGGGGAATGAAGGGGAGCTCTGTTGAACCGCATTAAGCTCCAGAAGCAGTCTGTCAAGTTCCGATAAGTTGCTGCCCAGGGCGGAGGTCATGGCTGCTGTTGACGAGTCGGATGATTTTTGTTTGTTTGGAAAGCTGAGAGAGACAAACAAGTGTTAACCGAAGCAACAAAAGCCCTACTGTGATGCGCTGTAGATGCCAAGAGAGCAGCAAGCTCACCTGTAGACGTGGTCTTCCTCGATATGAGACGGAGAGCTGCTACTGTCCCTCGACCATGGGTTCTTCTGGACTGAACCTAAAGACTGCAGTCATTTTGAAACCAGTTATGCGCACAGACTCAAAAGCAATCACGGGCGTTTTTCAAGCTTTCCTGATTACAATCCATTGAAGTTTAATGATTAAACCATCCTGCACAGATAAAACATCAAATTAAGCGAGATTTAAGGTTCCTTTGTTTGATTCATCTTAGTTTCCTCTTTAAAAATCATGTCTGTGTTTGAGAAATGTTTAAGTATAAGTCGAAGTAAAAGTAAGGCCACACTAGAGATGTGCACCTGCTGAGAGGAATGATCGGAGTGGTCTTGCAGCGAACCATTCAGCGCTTCAGCTGTGGGCGGCGGAGGGACTGGAGGTGGAACTGATTGATCCTGGTAATAATTCCCGCTAGTGGGGATGGAGTAGGGTGTCTCATCTGGCAAAAACACTGGTCTCTTTGAAATGTGGGACGTGGTCGATTCCAGGTCAGCCAATAACGCATCTGCAAGAAAAAGTGTGCATCAGCATTTTTCATCATCACAGTCTTAACAAGACACCGGTTACATGCTCATTTTTATGTGTTATTTACGTGGTTGTTTGTCAGGCTACAAGAAAAAGTGTGCATCAGCATTTTTCATCATCACGGTCTTAACAAGACACCAGTTACATGCTCATTTTTATGTGTTTTTTTTTTACGTGGTTGTTTGTCAGGCTGTAAACGTACAACAGTAGCCTATTGATGGCTGGCTCTCATTACAGCCTGTCACCAAAAGGCAATTCACTTCCTAACACCATCATGATGGCTTAATGTACTGCCTGACCTTTCCAAAACATCCCCAACATTCTTTGCCCATCAGTCCTTCACTATAAATACAACTCTGCTGTCACTGAATTGCTACCTGCCCTCTTCCACTTAGCCTCCGCCTTTCAGAAACGTGGATCTGAATCCATGTGATTGTTCCGAACAAAGGGGTCGAGGTGTTTCTGAACCCTGTCCAGGGCAGGGATTGGACCACACTGCTTAGTGGCCAACGGAATGCGAGAATAAAATAGCCTCTGACATCACACTGTGTGTGCACCGTCAGCCGGTCAAGAATAGGTCACAGTCACCGGCTGCATACTTTGACAAAAAGACATTAGGAACACTTACAGTTGGCACCTTTGAATTACAAGGAACGGAAGACAAAGAAAAAATAACTAATGGGTAAAATTCGTACACTGAATATCATCTGGAAATTGTTTATCCACAGAAATCTTTTTATATGCACATGAGAGAAAAAAAAAAAAACATTCTTCGTGAAAGAGGAACTATCCCTCTTCAGACCGTCATCTCAGCCCACATCCCTCAGTTCATCCCACTGAGTGTCTACAATGAGTAGGCATAATAAATCGTCTGTTGGTGCAACAGAAAATACTAAGTTGAAGTGCAACCTATAATGTTAGGCTCATAGCTACCTTGTAATACGGAGGTAAAGCGACACTCTACCGACGTCAACGCCAATAAAACATTGAAAAGCGTGACCAAATACATCTATCATTCAATTCAAACTTTTAAAATAGGCTCCACAAAAAGGTCAGATTCTGTACTCACATTCCTGCTGCACCTGTTGGATGTGTCCATCCACAGCAGCGCGTGCTCGTGAAGTAGACAAAGATAGTTAGTGAACAAGAGCAATGATAGACCGCGACAGGGGGAGGGCTCGGATCACCAAACTTGCCTGACAGTATCACTTGAGTGACGATAATCAAAGTCATGATTTTTTTCCCCCAATATTCTCATCCCAAAATGATTGTGGCAACTGTGATTGCAATCTGGCACCCTATTTGAAAAGGCGATAACTCACCAATAAGAAACAGATCCAATCCCCAGAAAATCCTTGGATAAAATGAACACCGGTACCCATGTTCTGACCAATCCTGCACATTCATCGTGTTCATAGGACACATGCTGAAATTGGCTGGTTTACCATAAACCACTTGGGACCTCCTGCCTATTTAAAGCACTAAGCCCAGTGAGTAGCTCATGTCTGCGCAAATGAGCTGAAATATCACGGCCCTCTCAAAATAATCTGCACCTGGCGCAGACATGCTGAACAAGGTCTCACTGACGATGACTGTCACTTAAAAGATAAGGCCTCGAGGAAAGGGGAAAAAAAATACCAATGACGGTGTGGACCGTGTGATTTAAACATACTTGTAAGCACTAAAAAAAAATAATAATAATAAATGGAATCAGTGTCAATGCATAATTAATTTTAATAACCCGTTCCGAGAAAGCTTTCTTATACTGACAAAGAAACCATACTGCCTGAGGCCCTTCAAAATACTTGTAGACTCTGCAACTTTCTGAGACCACGTTTTGGACCATGTTGACTCAGCAGTTGGCATTTGCATGAGAAACATAGCCACCAAAGTAGGAGGAAACTGTATAAAATGATGACATTAAAAAAACAAGAATATATCTCAGTTGCGTTATGGTTGCTTTTGTTAGCCACTCATGAAATAACCGTGTTGTCAAGTACTTTGTATTTTAAAACTGTCCTTATTCGCTCTTTGCTGTCAAACTCATTTTTTGTCGCGGGCCACTTCAGAGTTACGGCTTCCATCGGAGGGAACGTCATTTCTTCCCCATGACAATTTGACATTTCGGTACAGATTTCAGCAAGGATCATGAAAGTTGACACACACGATTTGCTCCTGCGGGCCACATAAAATGACGTGGCGGGCCGGGTCTGGCCCCCGGGCCTTGACTTTGATACCTGGTCTAACCCAACGTTAAAACCCCACTTGAGTCCTGTGTCTTAAAAACTGAATTTGAAACCCAAACCCTGGTTTGAAATCCTATTTGAAAAGCCCAACTCTTGTTTGAATCTCTAAACTTGGCTTGGAAGCGTATTTTAAACCCCAACCCTGCCTTGAAACCCTACTTTGAAACACTAACTCTGTATTGGAATCCCAACCCTGGCTTGAAACCCGAACTGTTGGTGGAAACCCCATTTTACACCCTGACTCAGAGCCTTGCTCTGAACACCTGACTCAAGCTTGTTGCAAGCCCTAACTCTTGCTTGAAACCCTGCCCGATGAGTTTTTGGCGTTTATTATGCGCGGAGTAGAAGACGGAAATGTAAATAAACGTCAAGGCGTTATCACGTTGGCAAGTGCGAGGTGGGAATCGAACGCCAGGTTGCTATTTTTGAGCCGTCCCGGTTTGGCGCTGGTGCGACGCGCCTCCGCCTCGCCGTCCCCCGCTGCCGCCTCCAAGGTAGCGGCGATGTTAATGAGGCGGGCTTGCGGGCCCCG